CTGCCTGTGCTGCCAGGCAGATCAAGGCCTTGTAAACAACCAGAGGTATGTCCACGTCCTCAAGAACTTTTGCAAATTACAAGTGCAGGCCATCCTGTGGCCTGGGGGTTCCGGTGGCCGGATCCTTCATGGCTGGATCCAACTGTGTGGCTTGAGCCCCAGACCTGGTGGTTTGAAAAACACCCCAGGCACATGTGCATGAGTGCCCAAGCTCCCAGTAGGAGAAAGAACTAAAGAAGAGATTGTGGCATGACCATGCCCCATAGAGGGTGCTTTCTCACTTTCTCTCTTTTTCTCTCTCTCTCCCCAGTGAGCACATGGGTGCTCTGGAAATCTTTTTTTTTTTTTAATTTTAATTACAGATGCTTGAGATCCACTCCCGGCAGTTCTGATTTCATTAGTCTGGAGACCTGAGCTTCTTAAAGCCCCAGGGCTTCTGTGATATACCCCAAGTGAAGGCCCTTTGCCGTGGTCCCACAAGGTACAGGTGCAGACTTATTTTTTCTATTTTTTAAGACATGGTCTCACTAATGAGATCTTCCTGCCTCAGCCCCTCAGCTGGGGCTCCAGGTGTGCACCACCAAGCTCTTTTCAAGACAGAGTCTCGCAAGGTGTCCTAGGCCAGCCTCAAGCTCCCAATCTTCCTGCCTCAGTCTCCAGAGCTGCTGGGTTTCCAGGCATGCACCACAGTACCCAGCCTTGGGTTGGACCAGGAACCCCCCGTCCCCAGGCCTCCCACATGGTCTCAGCCTGCAGAGCGCAGCATTCTAGCAGCACACGCCACCAAGCCTGAGCTGCAAACCTACCTTTACTAGTGACCTCAAGTTGCATTATTAATGACAGAACTGACTTCATAAATATTCTGCATAATTTTGCAGTTGCTGTTTGCTCTATAGAAAAGTCCCTCATCAGGCTGTCAGGAAGACACGGATTTTCAATGATCTGGCTATGGGCAGATCTAGCCCATCAGAGAACTAAGAGAGCAAATCTCTGGCGAGCCCCATGAGATGACAGCTCTGGTAATGCTCGGCAAACGAGCACGTGAAAGCACCTCCTGAATTAGACCAAACCCAGACCCAAACCAGGCAGTCATCTGGCCTGGGCCCTGATTCTGGGGATAGAACTTCTCTCACAGAGAAAGAGAGGCCCCACCCGGGGCTCACTCTTTATCTCAGAATTCAAAAGTATTTTTGGCTTTCTAGGCTGGGGGGTCGGGAGGATGGCCTCCCTCACCCCCTCCTCTCTCACCCTTTCATCTTTCTCTGAAAATTTCATTTGATGATTCCCCAGCCGAGCTGCAAATTAGAGATTTGTAGGCCCGAAAGATGCTAATAATGGTGATCGCCTCATCACCTTCACAACAGTAAACATTTATGGAGCACCATAATTATTCATAATAATTTTTATGTGTTAAATAAATCTGACCTAACTCTATAAAGAAATAGGCTTTGCTAACCAAGAATATTGGGTAAATTAAAAGCCTCCAAGAAGCAACTAATAGAAATATCCCAAGTCTCATCACACACGTACCATCGGGTGGTTTAGTGTCTAGGCTTGACACTCGGTGGGTCCCTTGCACAACGTCAGGAAGTGTTGTCCAGCTTCTCAGGGCTCAGTCTGCGGCCCGTGGCCAGCTGCGACTCCGAGGTCCGTGCTGCTGTGTGAAGGTTGCTGCAGAAACATCTCGTCTCTGACTCGTTTTTATCCAAGAAAGATTCTCTGAGATCCAGTATTCAATATCAAATAATATGGATAATGATTATGATAGAAATAAGAATTGCTGGGGCCAGCAGATGGCATAGCAGTTATGTCGCTGGACTTGCACGTAGTCCGGACCTGGTGGCTTGAAACTCATGCCAGGTGCATGAGCGTGTGTGCCCAAAATCCTAAGAGGAGACTGGAGGAGAAGTGATTGCAGCGTGGCCCTCTCCCCCGAGGGGGTGACTTCTCACTTTCTGTCGCTTCGTCTCTCTGTATCTCTGGCAAGTGCACATGCCCTATAGTAAAAATCTCTAACAAAAAGAAGAAATAAGAATTACCATTTATTGAACACATGCACTGTGCATGGTATTGGGCCAGGCAATTTTAACAGCCAATTATACAGATTAAACTGTACAGATTAAAGGAATTGTACAGAGTGGGACCAGCAGTTCATGTAATGGCTATGTTGCTGGACTCCCACATAGTCAACCGCGGTTCGAGTCTCAGACCCAGTGGCTTCACCAACACCGGGCACATGTGCATGCGTGCCCAAGATCCCAAGAGGAGAATGGAAGAGAAGGGATCGCGGTGTGCCATCCACTCTAGGGGATAATTTCTCACTTTCTGTCTCTCTGTCTTTCTGGTGAGCACTCACGGCCGATAGCAAAAACCACTCCAATAATAATAATTGTACAGAGTAAAATAAAATTGAAACTCAAAGGTTGACCAGCTCAAGGTAGGAGCAGAGCCTAGATGTGAACCCAGTTCTGCTAGCAGAGATGGTGGCTGGTGCCAAGTTGGGAATGACTGCTAGGGCTTGGCAGATTGTTCTAGAAGAGCAGACAGCGTTCTGGGGTTGCGGCGTACATTTGGAAGCATTCTCATCTCCTGTTTGTTACCTCTGTGGAAGCCAGGTCTCTGTGAGAGTTTGGGAAGTCCCTAAAGTCGTTTCCTCTTCCTCTCTGGGTGGGGGGAGGCCCTCCCTGTCTGTTGACCCCAAGTCCCTCAGGGCATTACCAGAATAAAAGGTATCCTTTACTTGGGTCTTCAACTTTAAGCAACCTTTTAAGTCAAGATATGTCTGACTTTACCATAAAAAATTATTAATTTATTTCAATAACCAATAAAACTGGTCAAACCAAAATAAATAGCAAAAGGAAGAAAGAAAACACCCTAAGCCAAAAAGTATGCTAGTTTTACTTAACATTTGACAAATTTACATTCTCCTTGTCTGCCCTTGGGTGCCTTAAAATAAAATTCTATCGATATTTCCATGTAACATTGTTTTTTGTTTCCCTCTGAAAAATCCACCACAACAGAAATTCCTCTATTCATTTTGTCCCTTGGGTGTCAGATGGTTTCTTCCTTCAGGAATAATTCATCTGTCAAATTTGTCATTTGTCACTGAGTCTGGTAGCATTTTTCTCCTTGTCCCTCAAAATTTAGCTTAACGCTCACTGAATCGGGCCTGGGGGTGTTCTCAGGGGCCGCGAGATCTCTGGTGATAGAGACCACAATGTGGCCAAGTTCGTCCTGCCCAGGCTGGCACCCAAAGGGTGTCCTGTTGGGAACCAGCAGTTAGCGTAATGGCTATGTCACTGGACTCCCACGTAGTCGATCGCGGTTCGCGTCCCGGACCCAGTGGCTTAAAACTCACGCCGGGTGCGTGTGCGTGCGTGCCCAAGATCCCAAGAGGAGAATGGAGGATAAGGGATTGCGGCATGACCATCCCCCCTGGGGGGTGATTTCTCACTTTCTGTCTCTATGTCTCTCTCTGTCTGTCTGGCGAGTGCACGCGCTCTATAGCAAAAACCTCTCCAAAAAAAAAAGAAAAGAAAAGAAAAACAAAAACAAAGGGTGTCCTGCTAAATGTCCATACTTACTTTTCTTTTGTAAAGGTCTGGTCTAGGACAGTCAGAAAGGAATGCCACCTCACCATGGCTCGGCCACCATGGCGCAGTGTCAACATCGGCACCCTGCAGTGCTGGGGGCTGTAGGTGGCTGTGGTTCGGATCCTGGGTCAGCCTAGAAAGTGCTCGCAGTGAGTGTTGAGCGCCAAGGATCCCGGGGAGGGGAGGGCCGGACGGGGATCACGAAGGGAAAGATCCAGCCGAGAATGCTTCCTCCCTGCCTCTCTCTCTCACTCCACCCCACCTCCTCTTCCGTGCATATACTTGCACTTTCTATATTAAAAAAAAACAGTGGGACCAGCAGATGGCATCATGGTTACATCACTAGACTACCACAGAGTTGACTGCAGTTCGAGTCCTGGACCTGGCAACTTAAAACTCACGCCAGGCACATGTGCAAGTGTGTCCAAAGTACTGAGAGGAGAATGGAGGACAAGGAATTGCAGTGTGGCCATGCCTCCCGGGGAGTGATTTCTCGCTTTCTGTCTCTCTGTCTCTGTCTTTCTGGTGAGCACACACATCCTGTAACAAAAATCCCTCTCTCTAAAAAAAAAAAAGAAAGAAGAAGACAAAGAAAAAGAGAGAAATCTGTACCTCCCAATCGTACTTCCTACATCAAATGTCAGAGTCTTTGGAGACACAAGAGGGCAGTTTCTGACTCATTCCTTGGTTTCCACGTGAATGGGAAGGGGCGGAGTGCTCAACCATCCCTGCTGTGCTCCCTCTTGAATACACATTGCCAGAAATCGGCACCTCCTGGGGTCCACGTCTGGCCACGCTTCTCCTCAGGTCAGAGAACCCAGTGAGCAAGGGAGCCACAATCCTCTCTTAGAATGCATCTTCTGTAGTCGTTTCCAGAAAGTCAAGGCCAGTGACCCTAGACAGGGTCATGCCATGTCCATCTTCCTCCTCTGTCTCCTCTCCTTCTGGCCCTTCCTTTCCCCCACCCCGCCTGTCTCCTGCTAACCAAGAAGACACGCTTCTGCCTGTTGACCCCTAGACAGGCCCAGCCATCGGCATCAAGAACGTAGTGTCACATCAGACACTTAGTAGGTGCTCAATGTTAACTGAATGAATGGATGAAGTTCAAGTTGAAAGAAACTGAGAGATCATTTCTCCAAGCCCTGTGTTTGTAGATAAGGAAACGGAGGCAGAGGGCCTCAGGAATCTGCCCAGCATCGCGTCATGTCCCGCATGGCTTCCTGGCTCCGAGGCCCAGGCTCATCTCTCCCTGTGTGCTAAGAGCCCAACATCCTCTCTAACAGGACATAGTGTGGACATCCTGGGTTTCCCCTACCCCTGCATTTTTGGAGCAGAAAGAGGCTGCATTTGCAGTAGGGGCGCGAGCACAAGGCAACACCTAACACGTCTCACTAATTCCTTCCGTAGGGTCTCTTTTCTGTTCTGAATGAACTGAGACGCTTCCACCTGTATAGGCCTGAGCTGCCTCCCTCCTGTCATTTCTGCAAACAGCCTGCTCGCCAAGCCTGGCCTGGCATCGCTCAAAGACCCCTGAGGCCGTCTGGCCTCCTGTCCTCTCAGCCTAGCTCTCTCCCCATTTGGGCCTTAACAAGATCTCACAGCCTGCCCTCCCTCAGAACAGACACTGGCATTTCCTCCCCAGGCAATAGCTACGATGTAAAAGCAATGCTAATACTGAAACACAACACTGATGGTGTACCAGGAGCCTTCAGGAGGATGACCGTCAGCTGTGAAAAAATTAAGCCAATCGGCCTGAAGGTAGGCTGGAAGAGCACATCTACTAGTGCTCTGAATGGCAGATTAGCAGACTGGTGGACGTTAGCTGTACACTGGGGAGGTGACCCCAGAAATGGCTTTTCCCCTGGTGTTCCATCACCAAGAAACGGGACAGCCCAGAAGTGAAGTCAGATGATCCCCCTGCTGCTTATTCAGTCGCTATCCCCTACACAAGGCACAGTGTCACTGGGGCGACCCCCAGCCTCAAGCCCACAGGCAGGGAGGGCTTCCCGCTACATCCGCGCCAGGCTGCGCTTCTTCTGCAAGGGATTACGATGGAGGGAAAGCAGCCATTGGCTGCTCACCGCGAAGGTTCTCAAGGATTCTAAACAGACCATAAGTAATTCACTGAGTCACTCACAAAGGACCCAGCTCTGTGTGCCGGTGGCTCCGCATTCAGGAAGCCAACAGTAATCAGCGCCACCGAAATGCAGAGCCAACTCTGATCAGAAGATGTCATTTTTCCCCTAAATGTCATATATACAATTTTTATTGGAGCATGATGACAGATAGTGAATAACTTAACATAAATTTGCATAATACAATACAGTTGTTAATTTATGATCATATTAAAACACAAAGTTTTATTATTTAAGGCATTTAAAAGTCTTAATCTTCTGAAACTTTCTCTCCTGTTTGCTGTTTGTTTATTACATACTGAGAGTTGCTTGATAAAATATTGGTCTCTGGTTAAATTTGAATTTCCGATAAACAATGAATAATTTTTTGGTATAAGTATATCTCATGTAGGGGCTGGCAGGTAGCATGGTGTTTAAAGGTGCTAGTTTCTCACATGGCTGACCACAGTTCAAGTCCTGGACCTGGCGGCTGGCTTGCTTCTTTGCTTTCCCTTTCTCTCTCTCTCTCTCTCTCTCTCTCTCTCGTCAAATTAACAATAATAACAAATGGAATTAAATAAATAAATAATTCTAAAAAAATAAGTATATCTCATGCAATATTTGGGACATACTTATGCTAGACAAATTAGTCATCATAGATCTGAAATTCACATTTAACAGGATACTTATATTTTTATTTGACAAGTCAGATCATTCTATTCTGAACCTTGTAAGCAGCTTAACCACTGCTGCTTTGCTGACAGGGCAAAGGGGGTCGTTGCACAAGGAGTGGCGACAGCTGGGACCTTGATATCTTGATGCCATGGGGGAGGCGGCTCTTCTAGGAGCACTTAACAGAGTCAAAGGGCTCAGACTGTGCAAAGCAGGTAACAAGGTGGGCAGCACATCCGGGCTTTGCTGGCAGCATCAGGGGTCTTCCAGCTCCATATTTCCAACGTTTTTGACTACAACCCTATTTATAAGAAACATACTTTCTAATTCATCTTATCTATGTAACTGAGACATAGACTTCTGAAACATCAAACAGTAGCTGTCCGTGTGTCAGCTGCTCTGTTCTCGTCTACTTCATTCTTTTAAAAGAATTGTTTCATTTAACTTTATTTATTATTTTTTTAATTTGAACAGAGAAGGACAAGAGGGAGAGAGAGAAAAAGTAAACCTCCGGGTCCAGGACTCGAACTGCAGTTGGCTGTGTAGGAGTCCAGTGCCCTTAAACTACCGGCTAGCCCTGTTACTTTATTTTTTTTTAATGTTGCTCTTATCCCTTAAATTGAATCTTCGATCTCTAAATGATCACAGCCCACATTTTGAAAAACACTGTGTTAAAGGGATACAGCTCAGGAAAGTGAATGAGAAGTTTTTGTTTTAAATGTATTTATTTCTTCCAAGAGAGAGACAGAGAGACAGAGAGACAGGTACCCTCGCCAAGGCTTTGACACTGTGATCCACCCCAGCCTCAGCCAGCCAGGACCGCGGCACACACATGGACAGCCGACGTGTACAGGGAGGCCCCACAGCGTGGACCTGGGACCTTCCTACATGGCGCAGCATCCCGGGGTTTCGCGTCACCGCTGTGCCTCCACGGCTGGCCCAGATTTTATTTTCTAATCCTCTTTACAAAGGAGGAGACGTGTCGGGTCAGCTTAGAGACCGTCCAAATCCATTTTTGCTCGCTTGTGGCCAAACGAGGACTAAAACGCACGTCTCCCAAGTCCCAGACCTGTGTTTCTGGTCTCCTTCCATCACTCTGGCTCGTCTCCACTTTCCGGGTCCCCACGCTACGATGCGCACTCTGGGCTCCACGTCTGACTATTTTACATGATTATGTTGCTTGTCTACCATTTCCTTAGCACTTCATTTTTTTTTCTTAAGAGAAATCTTTGCTATAGGCCTTGTGTGCTTGCTGGAGAGGCAGAGAGAGACGAAGAGACAGAAAGTGAGAAATCATCCTGGGATGGGGGAGGGTGGCCATGCCGCAATCCCTTCTCCTCCATTCTCCTCTCGGGATCTTGGGCATGCACGCACACGCGCCCGGTGTGAGTTTTAAGCCACCGGGTCCAGGACTGGAACTGCGGTCCACTGCGTGGAGTCCAGCAATGTAGCCATTACACCATCTGCTTGTCCCTCCTTAGCTCTTCATGTTCTCCCCAAACTGCTGAGCTTCACTCCAGTTCTGGTCTGGACTGGCTCATCCTTGCTCACAGCACCGGCCTGCCCTCTCTCAGCGTCCGAGCCAGCGCATCTTGGCACTTACCCTCTGACCTCTGGCCCTCTGACCCCTGGCATGTGATGGCCCTGCCCCGCCCCCAACCTCCTCTCACTACTTTGGTGTCTCAGGAGATCTCGCCCATGTGCAGCAACGCTTCCACGCGCCCTCGCTGGGACTCGCGTGTCGGTGACATCAGACTGGCACGGTAACTAGTAGCTGTGATCTGTCGCCATCGCTCTCCCTTCTCTGTGAAGTGGGGCGTAGCTATTATCTATTCCCTCTGAACGTTGGGAAGGCAGAGGCTCAGAGAGGTCCAGCGATTTCCTCAGGGTCACACAGCAAACGCAGAACTCCAGGCTTCCTGCCCCGTTTTGCACTCTGTCATCAGGACACAGAGACTGCTGAGCTGAGATGCTACCAGCACTCAGCCCGGAGGAGACACGCACCCAGACCCCCGCGTGCGAACCAGTCCCACCTACCTGGTCTCACTTTCAAACACGTACAAAACTTTATGGACTCTCACCAGCATTCGGTTTACTGTCCTCCAGGTTGCGCCATGGGCTGCCCACTCCACCCATTTTTGTTTGACTGTGGACAAAGACCACCTCCCCTTCCTCTTAAGGGTTATTCTACCAGACCTCAGCTTGGCTTGCAGAACCCATGGGTTCCTTCCCATGTTTGAGAGTTTCTTAAAGTTTTTATCTGTCTTCTCAGAGAGGAGGAGGAAGAAAGTCACCCTCAGAAGGGCCTTCACACCTCAGCTGGCCTGGATCATGGGCACACCCCCAGCCCCACCCCACCCTGATACACTCAGGCGGGTCCTAGGGCTTGAACCCAGGACCTTTGCCACATGGATCCAGTTGTACTGCAGCTGTGCCACTGCCTGGCTCCCTTCTGGTATTCAGATCCACTTGGGGAAGTGGACTTGGTGCTCCCTTCCGTGGGACATGCTTGTCACGTGGTCCCTCTGGGCCCGGGGAGCTGCCAGTGCATGCCACGGCTCCCTTCCCCCACAGGGCTCAGCATGGAGGACCAGGCGCTACCTCGCAGGGACAGGCAACCGTGCTCTGAATGGCCCAGGCCGCGTGCAGCAGGTCCCACGGCTCGTCGTCACCTCCAGACAATGAGGCCAAGGGCACAGCCGGTCTCAGGGCCTAGCTCTCTGCCTCGAGACCTGACAGGTGCCTTAGCTGGCTGTGTGACCCTGGGGCACGACATGGAGCCTCCCAAGCCTCACTCCTCACCTGCTGAAAGGGGACACTGACCATATCTACCGGGGTGGGGCGAGAGCTCAGGAAGTGCTTAGCACAGCCCGGTACCCTGTTGTTTTGTATTTTGTTATTCTGGCTTCAAGCTTTTAAAACATTCCCATTCTTCAGGGACCAGCAGTTAGCATAATGACTATGTCACTGGACTCCCATGTAGTCAACCGAGGTTCAAGGCCCGGACCCAGTGGCTTCAAACTCACGCCGGGTGTGTGTACGTGCATGACCAAGATCCCGAGAGGAAAATGGAGAAGGGATTGCGGCGTGATTTCTTGCTTTCTGTCTCTCTGTCTCTCTGTGTCTGGCGAACGCATGCGCCCTATAGCAAAAACCTCTCCAAAAAAAAAGAAAAAAAATTCCCATTCTTCCATTGTGCAGAGCCATCTCAGAAACCTTAGACCCCTGCCCTTCCGTGCCCTGCCCCCGAGCCTCAGCTCCACCCAGGCCCCAGCCCCTGCAGCGCCCCCGCCCGCCAGCACCAGGTCCTCCCCTGCCATCCCGGAGACTTTCACCTTTTCCACTTCCAAACTCGTCTTTTCACATACCATTTTCCCAACACTCAATCAAATGACCAGGATCAGAGGACCTGGGAGGATGTCAGAGGTCAGTTGATCCCAGTGGCCAAAGCCTGAATGCGGAGGTCCCCTCCTAGGTCTCTGCTGGAGCCCCTCCTGCCCGTCGGTCCAGGAAGGAGGAGCTCAGCTGTGGCAGGACAAGACCAATGTCCTTCCATTAACCCGTGTCCTGTGGCTTCCATCGGAGCCCTTAAACTCTGGACCACATACAATACCCCTTCACAGAGTGGATGACGACAGCCCTGTGGCTTTTTCCACTTCCCCCCACGTGGCCGG